AGCAGGAACGACAGTCCTTGTAGTGTTTGACTGTGTGTGTGTGTTGCAATGTATCAGATTTAATCTGAAAAATAGAAACCAATGTTTCTGATCTATCTGTCCTGTGATAATTCAGGCAATAGCAATGATTATTTTCCTCATCAGTCTCTCAGAGGTGATCTACAGCTTGCTTGGAACACAGGACCAGCATTGGATGTGATACTCCAGATGCAACTGAGTAATAACTAATAGAAAATGGAACAAGGATACGTCACATGTCTTGCCTGCAATGCTTCTGGTCAGGTATCAGTAAGAAGCTTTTACCATCTCCTGTGAGGCTGTGAACTCATTTTGCTGCGGGTTCTCAGTAAAACCTCGGTTCCTTTTGAAGAGCAGCCATAACCAGGCACTGTGCTTGATATATCTGTGTGAGCATTTTTTCTTGTCTAATGTGTAATCTGTTTGTTTCAACTGAACAGGAAAATTAAAAGAAGAAAATCCCCAAAAGAAAATCCCGTTACATTTCAAGTGACTTAGTTAAGCTATCAGAAGAACAGGAATTGTGCAGTCCTTGCTCTTCCCATTCTAGGAAAGATCTTTCTATCACAAGCACTGTATTTGCTGGACTGGGTTGTTTTGCTTGATTCTTTTGTTGTTGTTGTTCTTTTACATATGTTTTATCCAAGAATTTATCTCGCCTTGTTCTCAGTTTCAAAATGGCCACAGTTTTATAATCCTCACATGTGAAAAATTAACTGAGATTCTCTTCTCCTTGCAGCAATTGCACAGCATTACCTGAAAGCACTTCTTAACCTCTACTCTGTAATCTGAACAGTTCCTTGGCTTCATCGTGTTTCTGATGCCCCCATCATCTGTTTATTCATAAATTATCATTTGAATCTGTTTGTATAAAATATTAAAAACCACTTCCTTTTATCCATAAGCAGGTAGTCTTTGTTTCCCTTTCTAATACTAAGCTGTCAAATCAGAAGAATTGGCTGTGTGCTGTCTGGCACCAGAAGATGCTGAACAGCTGAACTTAAAAGTGATTGGAGTTGTTCAGGGTGTCCAGACATGCAAATGTGTTTATAACAATCTGCTTGCCAGGTAGGGATGACATTTAACGGTATTCACCGGGCACGGCAGGATGTGCTGTGCTTGGTTGGGAAGTCTGTCAGTGTAACGCAGCTGGACGTGTGCTCTGGCCTTCGTCTGGCACGCTCTGGTGTTTCCTTTCTGTTCCAGCTCACACCCAGAGCTACCCTGTGCCTTGAAGTTTGGCCAAGGAAAGAAAGGGCAAATAGCCCATGTGCGAGAACAGAGCTTTGTTGTGTGTGCAGGAGGTGGAGCTGTCTCTGATTTCCCCACAAGAAATACAGCAGTGCTGAAGCAAGTCGTTGACTGTTCAGGCTTTCTGGCATTAATGTGCATTGATGTAGATGGTGTTTTAAATTTCCAGAGTTCAGTGTCTGACTTCTCGGTGCGGTGCTGAACGATTGCAGATGATCTCCATTTGGGTTTGTGCTGAATCAAAAAAAAAATCTCATCTGAAGCAGAGGTTGAAGTCCAGACAGCTGGAGGAGCCCTCATCTGCCCACAGGCTTTCTGCAGGCCCAGCAGCCCTCGCCCATAGGTTTGTAGGGCTCAGTTTAAACGGAAATGTGCGAGACATGTGCAACACAGCTCCCTTTTGCATCTCCTTGCCCGAGTGATTAACCACAGCCGGCGTGGCGCTGGACCGCCTTGCGCAGCGCTGCACGTCCTGTTCACGGCCTGTGTGCAGGCGGGGGGCGGGCGGCTGGATTCCAGCCTCCTAAGCTAATCTGTGGATTTCAAAAGCTGTAACGTGCCAAGTTTTTATTGGCAGCAGCCTTAGATTTGAGCTGCCAGAACTGGAAATGCCTCTGAAGTCAAAGGGTATCAGAGCTCCCACTTGCGCCCCAAGAGCAGAGCCCTGCCTGTAATCGCCACGCCAATGTGAGAGAGATGACGGCCGCTTTACTCATTGTCCTTCTGCTTCCTTTGGCAGCAGCTGTCTGGATCTTACTTGGCAAGTGGGCTTATCTGTTGTGCACTGCTGCTCTGGCCTTTTCTGAGCATAGTTCTCCTCTGACCGCTTGTTTTGCCTTTAACCCACAGTGCCCAGCTGTGAGCTCCTGGAAGGCTCCTTCCATGTTCTCCACTGGCGATAAGGGCAAGTGCTTTACAAATTTTTTATTTCAATGATAAAACTCAGAGCAATTTCAGAGGCAACAGGAACTTTTATTTCGATTATTTTCAATGTCAATACATTGTCCTTTTATGCAAACTTAACTGTAAAACACTCTTAAGATACTGCACAGAAAATACACGTAGAAAAAAAAACATATATACACTTTCATAAAAATAGAATACATCTTGGCAAAATCACTTGTGTACAGTGTATGGACATAATTGAACCAAACTTGCATCATCTTGGGGTTTTTGCAAGTGAAACATTTTTCTCCTAAAAACATTTTAACTGCCTGAGCTGGGAGTACTGGAACGGATATTGGTTTGAGCTAAATAAATGGCTATGTCAGAATGCCAGAGTGAAAAAAAACCACTACAAACAGAAGTTATAAAATACCTGCTGTATAAAGTAGAAGTAGCCATGGTTTTTTTTCCTCCCATAAATAGTGATATCTCTAAACTTGCATGGTAATCGTATGTACCAGTTCTAAATTCTACTGTAGATTCTTTAGCTGAAAACAAACTTTAATAATATTTGTTTCAGCATTTGCAACCATTAGGTACAGTGGTATTTGGGTTTTTGAGCATATGATATAGTATATTACAACCCTAATTCTATCAGGTATTTGATAAGAAAAAAATAAATCTAATAGATATAAAATTGTAAAACACTTAGCAACCATTACATTATAATATGTAGACCACTTGAAATTATGGTTTTTTTCTTCTGGTTAGGCTTTTCTTTAGTTGCTTTCAACAGAGGCTGCTCCTTGCTCACTGCTTTGACCGCACACTGCAGCTCATACTTTGATATTTCTGCTGGTTTTCAGAACAAACTGTGGAAAATGACTTCTCCAGTGTAATAAATAAAGCAAGTGGTAACGGGTCCTCAAAGCCATGGATTTTTTCCTCTTGAATCAGAATAATGGGACTGGATAGGCAGCCCCGGGAAGGAGGGGAAAAGACAAGAGCATAGCACCACTTTCAAGTGACATGGGTCCCACCTGTTGGGCAGGCAGCAGAGTCCGTCTGGAAGTGGCAATACCCACTGGCATTCAGGAAGGTGGTTAAAATAATGAGATTACTGTCAAGTAGCTTGTGTGTCTAATAGGGATAGGCTGACACGGCTACATAAACAATGAACGTTGTCCGGTATTCGATGCTGCCATCGACGCTGTAGGACAAGGCTCTGACTCCCATGCGGTACGTCTTCGGCTCTCGCAGCGCTCGGGTGGTAAACACGACTCCTTTCAAGTTCTCATCTCTCAGGGCAAAGGGGATGGTTGGGTCCTCGTCTGCCATTAAGAAAGTTGTCCTTGGGTGCACGACTTGGTCATGCGTATAGGCAACCAGCCGGATTAAATCCTGACCGGCCGCTATGCCGAAGGGGAGGGAAAGGAGCTTGTATTCCAAGGCGTAGGTACTCAGATCACACTCCAAGTCGTTGGCTGGGCAGTTTTTGAGACAGAACCTACAAATAAGCAGAGCACTTTAGCCCAGAGAGAAGGCACAATATTCTAAGTACGGCAGTAGTTCTTAAAGGAAAAATTCTTCCCATTTACCCTGTTGCAGTGTGCAGATTAAAACTTCGCTATAAAGATAATACACTCCTGCACTCTTCAGCCATTGTTCCTTTACAGTTTAATGTCCCTCTT